CTCGCCCTCTCTCTCTCTGCAGAACTCCACCAGGGGCGGAGCACTCCACTGGACAGCAGTGCTCAGCGGCACCCATTCAACAGTCCTTCACTGAAGCCTCTGCTGTATAATTTCAATTAGCAGCACATGCATACTGAAAGCTTCATCGCAATGGATCAGTATCCCAGGAGATCAGCCAGTGGCAACAGCTTGGCAGAGAGCAGTCAGTCCTAAAGTTTGTCTGATGCAACTTCAGTACACTGGTTTATCACAAATGCACAGCACACTGCAGTGCTTGGGGTAATTTAGGTGCAGTACTGTATCTGCTAACACAAATTTCTATAATCATTCTGCATTTACTCTGCAGTTACTGGTAGTTGTGGCCTTAATTACCCGAACCATGCACTCGGTTTTGCAAAAGGACGTTTTGCTTGGACTATTTTTTACAGTTTTCCTTTAGCTGCATTTGACCAACTGTGCTGGTCCTGCACCCAAAACAGACTCCACATACTTTGTGGATTAAAAAAAAAAGCTGGCAACATACATTACAAATTTGTTTTTATTCGTTTTTTCCAGGTGTCGACCTCACACTCATAAAGCTGACAGGGGTTGTTTGTACACACGGAACTGTTCATACAAAAGAAAAACAAAACTCCCAGCACACAAAAGTGCAGCTTTAGAGAAAAAAAAAGGGTCTTAACATCTTTCATCCTCCTCAGCTCATGTTGTATTCCTTAGTTTAAGAGGTGGCTTTTATAAGAGCTCAACGTCTTCCTCTTGCTTGAGTCCTCAGTGAACTTAAATGTCCCTTCAGTCACATTATCTCTGCAAAATGTGAAAATCCTCTGTTGGCGCTGGGGTGCCATAGGTTAAACTGCATGGAATGTAACACATGGGATGTTAGACACAGTGGGGGTGATGCGTCAGCATGGCTCACAGCAACAGCAGCAGCAAACAGGACAGCGACAGCAGCACAGGCAATGCGCCCTGGGCTCAGGGGGTCTCGAGGTGGTGCTTTGAATGCAACACTGAGGAAAGGATGTTCCCCGCCGCGCACACGGTACCTTCGCTGTCGCTGCTGGACTCGGAGTCGCTGCTGCCCGAGTACGCGCCCAGGCCGGGCAGGATGCCAACGCACACCGCGGCGGCGGGCCG